AAGGGTGGGGCTGCGAGGTGATGGGGGTGGTGGGTGGTGGTGAAGTAATGTGTAGGCTGTGTGGTGGGGCTTATGGCGGTTGCTGCGCTGTCCTGCTGCGTGTGGTGGGTGGGGTGGGGGGTTGCGGGGTATTGAGGTGGAGTGCGTGAGGGAGTGTGCTGGGGAAGGGGAGGGGGGTAGCGCTGCGAACTATTTCCGAGTAGGGTGGTGGTGGTGGTGGTGGTGGTGGTGGAGGAGCACACAGCAGCCGGGACAGCTGCAGCAGGGGTATGCATGCCCGTGTGCGTCTGTCTGTCTGTCTGTCTGTCTGTCTGTGTAGGAGAGGATTAGCATGTGAGGTGTGTGCATGGTGCTGTCGTTGTTGTAGAACCCAATTGGGCTCAATTCGTCCGTTTGTCTGTATGTAGTGTCTGTATGTCCTGTAGTCAAATGTCAGTGGATCAGTTTTAGGCCCTAGTTAGTTAGTCAGTTAGGTTCAGCTGGCGCAAAGGCAGAGGCCAGCAGATGTAGGGCGAGGGGTGGATGTCACCATTGTGGTGTTGAATTATGTGTGTTAGGTTATAGCTTGTGTTTGCGTGTGTTTTCCTTCATCACTCCCCTCCTTACGATCTTTAAGATGTCTTCAAAAGTCGACCTTTTCCCTTCCCCATTGAAGCGATATCAAGTCACTGACATACAAACATACATACATACATGCATGCATACTCCATTTTGATGCCGGCCTAAGGGGTATGTGTCTAGGGGGGGGGGTAGGGAGGGGGGAACGAAGGGGGAGGGAGGCGGGGGCTCTTCTTGAAGCTTTCTTTCTTTCTTTCTTACCTGCTGCAGCCGTGCAGCGCTCCACCCCCCCCCCACACACTCGCTACTCTCCCCCTATGAGCTCATATCCGCAATCATGTGCTTTCCTGTTTTTTCGCTTCGCAGTCCTTCCCTTTCTCCCCCTGTGCCATTAGAATTGGGTGATAAGAGGAAAGCGCGTTTTTGGAGTTTAAGAATGTCAACAGCATTATCCCGCGCCCTATTGTCCTTAGGAGCTTGGCAGCTTCTTCCATAAGCCGTCATTGCTAAAAAAGAGAATATGTTCTTATTGCCAGAACTGGTGGGTGCGCTAAGAATGATGGAAATCGGGGCTGCATGGACGGTGTACACTGTGTTCCTAAGATGGCCCTCAATGTGCCGTGTATGTGTGTATGTATGTATGTATGTGTGTCATCACTCTGCTGTCGGTGTCGCGTTGCCCGTCCTATTTTGTTCAGTAGTCCAGCGTCCTGTTTGCCTGTCTGTCGGCCTGTTAACAAGTCAATCTGTCTGTCTGTGCGTGCGTGTCCGTCGCTTGCGGAGCTGACGTGCACGCCGTATACCTGTTTGTCTGTCTGTCTGTCGGCCCAATCATGTACTGTATGAACGTCTGAAACTTTTCGTTCCCGTTTTTTCCGTGTATTTGTGAACTTTGTTTGACTCAGGGTTTCGCAGGTGCACCAGTCATGCGGCGCTGGTGGGCGGTGCTGTGCTTGCGCCACACCACACCACACCGCACCGCGTGAAAGCGCCATCAGCCCGCTTCGGCCCCTCTTCTTGCGCGGTCGCTCCGTAGGGCCCCAGATAGCTGCTTACTCGCTTTGCGTCCGCATTCTTAAAAAACCATCCGAGTAATAGTGGACAAAAATGTCGTTTCTTTTTGCGTGGTGCTGTTGATGATGATGATGATGATGATGATGATGATGCTCATGCTGTTATTGTGTGTTTTGACCTTTCGCCTCTTTGGAAGCTTCTCCCGTCTTAAGATGCTTACAAAGGAAATAGAAACGTTTTTTGCCATCTTTAATTTCATGACCTTGCATGTGCGCGCGTGTATGAATGCATGTATGTATGTGTGTATGTATGAATGCATGTATGTATGTATGTCCCTCTGTGTGTTGATGTCACCAGCACCGGGAGCGGCACCAGCTGCCGCTGCTCCTCGGGGTGCACCGCCTTCGGGCCCGGGGGCCCCTCCCGCAAGTGGGAGCTCCGAAACCGCTTTGTCCTGCTTCTGCTGGAGAACTGTCGTTCATAGTTCAGATTCCCGCTCACAGCTTCCGCCTTCACGAGCCTGGCTGGCGCCTTCATGGCTAGCAGGTTGGCTGTAACGACTAGCTAGAAGGCGCACTCATCGCATGTAAATCCAAAAATGCCTGCTGGGTGAAGAAAGAGCTTGGGTGGGCTTGGATCCATTCCGTGCAGGTGCTGATGCTGGTGGTAGGAGCTGGAGGGATTCGTGCGAGAGCGTCCATGTCTGTGTGTGTGTGTGTGTGTGTGTGTCTTTGTATGTGTACGTGTGTGTGTGTGTATGTGTGTGTGTGTACCACGCCGTCGTTTTCCGAGGCTAGCGGGGAGATGCGGTTGGGTTGGGTTGGGTTGGGGCGGTACGTGTTGTTCTCGTTGCTTAGCATACATGACATTCGGAACGCCATGCGCGCGGCTACCGCTGCCGCCTGCCGCATGTTCTTAACGGCGTTTTCTTCTTCCTGGCTGGGGCCCATGCCGGAACCTTTCCCTAGGGATTTTCTCTGGGGCGGCCAGTTCATCGGGTTGTTCGTCTTTCCCCCTCCACCCCCCTTTGATATCATTCCATCTGGGGGCCATCATCCGGACGGAAGCCACTTGGCGTGCGCCGTGGGGGGTTGGTTGGGTTTGCCGGGTAACGGCTTGTGCTTGTGTGAATATATGTATGTATGTATGTCGCCGTTACTACAGGGAACGCACGGTTACGGACATACACACGAACACGGGAGGGCATGAGAAGCCTTCGGTGGTCTGTCTAGGAAGGTGTACGGCGGATGGTATGACACTGCACAGTTTTGTGAAGTGGCGGAAGAGCCAAACGCAAGGGTGGCAGAAGGGCGAGTGCGCGCGTCGTCATGTTATGGGAGGAAGGGAAGTCCTGGCACGGTGCTCGTGGTGGTGGTAATGGTAGTAATGGTGATGAAGGGCGATTGTGCGAGGTGAGACAGTGTAAGCATGCACTAGAGTGCCCCAACTCGACCCGGACCTGTCTTCGTATTTCGTATCGTTTTGCGCCGTTTTAATCGCAGTCACTCAAATCTATTCGCGGAGGGGTCGGCAGCAGCGGAGTTTTGCATCTCTCCTCGTCTGCTGCTGCAAAAGGCCCTTTGAGGGGGGAGGAGGAGATGAGAGGGCAAAGAGAGTGATGTACGCCTCGTGTCTCCGACGCCGTGTTTTTTGTGCGCGCGCGTCTCTGGTCGATAAGAGAGGGAGGAGGAGAGAATAATTGTTTGGCGGAGAGGAGAGGCGTGTATGAATATATTTGCCCGCGCAGATTGCGGCGTCCCCGGATTTTTAATGCTTTCCGACAATCAAAAAGATTATAAACCCCTTTTTTGTGTCGTGAGAGAGGCTCAGTGAGGTGGGAGGAGAGAGGCCGTGGTGAGAGTCGACGTGCTTTCTTGCGTGGTGGCGGAAAAAGTTACTCAGTAGTCGAATAAGCTATACTAGTAGTTAGCTCTCCGAACCAGTGAAAATCGCCCTCTAAGCGGAAATTTCGTTGTGTCGCCATCGCAGCAATGGCCTGCGTCCCCTTTTGTTCTTGTATGAAATATACGTAAGTAATATGTTTGCCGCTTCGCCAACATGCCTCACTGTACAGCCACATTCATGCCACCGTTCTACATTTCTTCCAGCTCCAGGAATTTTGTATTGCCCGTCATCATATTCACACAGCACCGCATTTTTTATTATCGGCCACCGTGATGATATGTCCTAATAATCAAAACGTGTTCTCGCTTTCCTGCTGTACGGCCGACAGGCTGTCTGCCGCCGTACAAGCCGTGTGTTACCTCCCGTAACTGCGAAGATAAACACTTTGTTGGATGGCTGTCGCAGGCCGAAACACCGACACACACAAAAGGGGGGAGGCATATCCTATGGTCGCGAGGTCGTCAAACCGCCATTCAGTGAAGAACACATCCAAACGGCAAAATATTAAAAAGGGCAGCAATCTTTTCGAATCTGATGCACTGGTCGTCAGTTCTTGTACGTGTTTGTGCGGCGGAGTCATGGGCACAACCTGCGACACCTGCGCCTCCCCCTCTCCCTCTCCATTTGGACCCATAGATGCACACACAATCTATATATAAGATCTCCTGGATGAAAACCCAACCATTCACACCATCCTGTATCTGTGCTCCTGCTCCTGTTCTTTTCCTCCTTTTGCTGCCCCCGATATGCTGCCCCTGCCCCTGCTGCTGCTGCTGCTGCTGCTTACCCCAGTTGCTGCTACTATACAGTGGCAAGGCCGACAGCGGCCATTGCACCTGCGCCGCCGTCGCACTCTGCACTCCCCCCCCCT